AGATAAACAAACAGACGAAATGTAATAATTCCCTGAAAATGAATGCCACGAATATTATCTATTTTATTATCACATTTCTTAAATAAATGGTAAAAAATCCTTGATATCCACTTTGTGCTAATATGCTATAGTAGGTAAATAAAGTTCCAAACTTTTCACTAATTTGATTGCAAAGTCAAAGTCACGTGGTCCCGCATGTTACAGCAGTTGCACATTGGAATTGTTAAAATGTAATTTGCCTCGCTAAAGCTGATCTATCTTTAGGAGCCCGAAGGGATCGCAGTAGTGTGAGCCGATTTATTTACACTATGACCCGCCCGCAGCTTTATGTTTGTCATTTGTACGTACTTTGTTGTGATGTATGCCTACAGCTAGGCGACATCGGTGGCTTTACTTTCAGGACTTTGAAACGGTATGTACAAATAATTCGACATGGTGATTCTGTGCAGTATTGTTTTTTGATGCAGTAGTGCTTGAACCAGGTTAGTTTGAAAGCTCACATGGTTCTCAGTTACAAGGAATTTAGAGATTTTCTTATTCGGGCTACTTAAAATGATTATTTTTGTAATAACTATACTTCGTTTTGTTAACAGTATTAGTCTGCGTAAGAAGCTGTTAACTGTACCATAGTATTGTAATAAGAGAGAATAAAATATATGTATTTAATTTTTTTTTTCTCTATTAATCTAATTTATAAATTATTAAAATAGATACCTGAAGGTAATTTTTGATAAAATAATATTAATAAACTGTTCTTTAAAATAAATACTGAATTTATAAAATAAATAACAATTCATCAATGCATGAATTTAAATTTTTATTCAATAATATGAAAGAGTTAGAATGAGATCAAAGAATAAAAACAACTGAATGTATTTGAATACTAAACAATATATTAAGTCCTTATTTACATATTTCAGTAACTCTGCCTAGTGCGGTGTATTTTCCACACAGATGAATTATTAGAGTAGATAATTATATACTATTATACTGGTACTTACATACATTTCATATATTCTATAGATTGTAAACAGAAGAATATATAATTTTCTGGTAGTCTGATAAATAATAAGGTCATATTACGATTAATATACATACTTTAGAATAAAATATGAAGTACTAGGTTATCTAATAATTATCATCTTAATTATCATTAAGAACTATTCACTCGTAAATGTAAATGTAAATGGGACTCTATTTTCCGCAATCAGCCTCTCATCTGGGCCTTTGTGCGTGTAGTCTGTTCTGTTCTAAACGAGTGTAGAGTGTTAAAGTTACAAAAAGTTAGACAGACAGAGAGAAGAACAAACATTCTCATTTAAAATATTGATATTAATTATGTTTCAGGAGCAAATAAATACATTTGTTCTAGAAGATTACAATGTTTCAAGCAATAAGAGATAACAATTGTGAATTAATAAACGAATTACCTTCGTTTTCCTTTATGGTTACTCACAAGTGCGCGTCGTTATACAACAATACGTATAAGTACAAGAGTTTAGTTGATTGTTTCTAATACTATACATGACAAATGAAATGCCTATATTCATACAATATACTAAGGAAACCGAGCACAACAAGTGTAATATATAGTAGAAGGAAAACTACAAAAAAAAATCTTATAAGAAGCTACCTGGCCTTGCATGGTAACAGTAGTATTAATAACTGAATTTTATTATAATACTGCTCTAATTTGATCACTTGCAACTTTGATGTATCGCCGGTAGCTCGCTCCTACACGATATCGTACAACGCTTTCTATAAATCAAGCCACGGAAGAGGCGTAACTATCAATGACAGGATACTCTATGAAGTTACGTAGTTGCCAAAACATGTAATAAAGATGTAACCACATCCTTATCTACAGTAATATTGTGAGGAGCTCAAATTTTGTGAGTTATTTTGTATCTTAGTCCTCTGCATTGACAACGCGTGTAATTCAATACCTAATCTATATATACCCTATAATATAATCGAACTGCTGCAAGCTGCTTGGCGGGTGAAATAGGTGACTTCTAGGTACCCACGCAGATGACTTTTTATACTCTACCTCTAAAATTCTTATAACTTTAGAATTCACGTATCCACAGTGATGCCTTACATTTTTTTCTGTTAAAATATAGATCTCAACAAAAAAGGTATATTAACTTGGAAATATTTGTTTACTTTGCATATCTATATACATCTTTTTGAAATTAGTTCAGAGTTAGTAATATTTACGAAATTTGACTATATTAATTTTTGCAAATCTCTACTTACATTATGTATTTTCATAGATCTTACAATATAATAAGAATGTATAATATAGTAAGGAATTTTCTTAGGTAGCTATTTATATCGAAATCAGTTACATATTATAATAGATCGAAACAAAAAAAAATTTAGAAATTTGTAGTTAAAATAACATTTCACTGTCTATTTACGTCAGAGCGCAGCATGCGAGAAGATTATAAGTACTCTTGTAGACAACTTACCAAACGGATAAATCAGGGGGCGTATGTACAAATTTCGTTTGATACAAAGTATCATGATTGCACCATATTTGCTTTAAAAATCTCACCTATCTGTTTGTAGAGAATTATTATTATTATTGTATACAGAGTAATATAAAAATATTCTACTATTTGATTATTTGAAATAACTTCGTTTTTATTACTCTATTTTCGTAGTTGTAATATTTATAGAGACCTTAACATTTAGCACTAAAGAATACTATTACATTAATGAAACATTTTGTTAATGTTTTGTTGGTTTTACTACTCCTTTGTCCCGAGAGGTCGCTAGCGGCTAGTGTTTAGTTTAGACATTAAATAAATGTGCTTTCACTATATTCTAGTTTTAAACAAAATTATATTTTCTTTAGTTTTTACTAGCTACTTTGTTTAATTGTTCAGAATTTTTGATTAACAGGGCAAAATAGTCTCTTTATTTCATATTTGGCGTGTCTATATAACATACGTTATGATATTTATTTTATGTATATAAGTAATATTTGCATCAAGTTTATAGTAGTGTTCTGCTTAATACTATATTTATTTTACAAAAGAGAGCCATACGTTCTATTTATGGTATGGGTTCTAGAGAGTCATTACGTCAATGCTTTAAACAATCAAATATCCTTACCGTTGCCTCACAGTACATTTATGAAAATATTATGTATACAAGGAAAAACTTAGATAGTTTCAAGAAACTTAAAGACTGTACAAGTAGAAACTTACGCAATAAAAATAAGCTAATTTTACCTAAATGCCGTCTACACAAAGTTAGTAATTCATTTTATGGTAATTGCGTAAGATTCTATAATAAACTGCCAGAGTCTACGCTAAATCTTACAGAGAGTCAATTCAAATCTTATATTAAACAAATGTTATGTAAAAAAGCCTATTATAAGATAGATGAATTTATAGATGATAGCAATATATAGCAAGAATAAGTTTATTTGCGGACAACGTTATAATTTTAATTTTCATACTGCTTTCTTGATATATGATAGCGTAGCGGCTTTTGTATTGATTGCCGCATGCATCCTTATGTAAAGTGCGAATACTGTAACTACCATATAGTAATTTTTGTAGCTGTGACGTGGTCATGTGGAATGAGTAGTCATGCTCACTAAAATGTCCAGACATGTGGCGGCGTGGTGGGCCGGGTCATTGGGCTCCTAAAATATGGTCGAGCGCAGTGATGGCTGGCTCATCCGTCATACTCGTGAACGAGTGCTGCTTGTAGGGACTGGTCTGCTCTTATCACTACGACTGATTTAATCTTATTGCATGATTATATTTGACCCAAAAAATTAGTGCTTGTTGGTAGTTTGTATTCACTCGTTTCGACTTGTAAATGTAAACTTACAAGGATTATTTAAAAGAGCAACACACAAGTTTCTTGCTCGTTCTTCTTGTGATGAGACAGCTTTCCGAACGAGTGGTAGATAAAAACAAATTGTTATGACTATTCAAAAGTGCTTAAATTAAGTTTATTTGAATAAATGATTTTCTATTCTATTCTATTCTATTCTATTCGAGATAGTTTTTCATTATTATTATAACTTGAGCAGAAAAATGTCAAGAGGGAAGAAACAACAAAACTAAATTTCACTATCACAGTACTATTGCCATTGTTGAGAATTAATAATATTTATATTTGATAATAATATTTATAATACACCAATATTATCACGATCGACATCGGTTTTTAATAATATAAAATTTTATACCAAATATGGCTCCCGGTTTACTGACAATTCAGACGAGAATAATGCGAGCTAACTGAGAATATTAATCTAACCGTGGCAAGCGAGCCTCTACCCTTTAGATTAATTAAGCTTATTAACAATGTTTATCATTATACCTAGTAGAGTTGTTAAATAAACTAATTAGGACACAAAGATTTGATGTTGCCTGGATTTGAATTGATGAACAGTTAGTCTAGATATTCAGCAGACATATCTAATGAACTATTTCATCATCTTCTTTAAAGTAATCTAACACATTCTGTTTTTATAAGTTATTAAGATATTTGGTATGTATACTTAGTCACAAAATATACAAAATACTAGGTATTTTATAAATATCTAAATGACATAAAAATAACTATTTATTTTTATGTGAGACTAATATTCAATTATTTAAACTCGATATTGAATAAGCGTGCTCACTTTGCTAAAAATATTATTATTATTAGTAAATAACTATTTCAGTGCCGCGCTTCTAATTTCCGTTAAAATCTTTCTCTGAGTACATATAATACACAAACTTTGGAATGAGGCTAAATAATGAAAAGTACTTCATGTTCCCATGCGTATATTACAGAATGTTTGTTTTTTTCCTGACCTGCCTCGATGGAGTGGTTTTTCTTACATTTTTCATAAGAACAGTAACCAAAACAATGTCAACTTTAATTTTTCATTACAAACATTCAGAGCGCATGTGTCAGGCTGAAACAAAAGACGCGCATGCGTAAAGTTAAAGAAAAATGGCGGAGCGAGCTGGGCTCAAATCTTCGTAGTAACATATTGGTTACAATAATCCAAATAAATTTGTAAATTTAACCGATTTTAATGGAACAAAATTAAGACGTTTGATGTTAAATTTGAAATATATGGGGAATCGTCAAATAGTGTTGGTGGTAATTGTTACAAAATAAGGATTTTTGCTGTTAGTGAAGATGCACAGTACCATGTTGACAGTTCAGTGATCTGTAGTGAATATGAGTAAAATATAATATTGTATTTATATTATACAAGAACAGATATGTGATAATACAATGCTAGTAGAATCATTCTATGACATTGAAACAAATAAATACTCTCAATATTATTAGACCATCCCAACATCGAGAAATATAGCCAAGGTATGATTTTTTTGTATTTAATTACTTTTAATTACAATACGTTACTTTGTCGTACAATTTACAAATAAAAAACGTTAAAGGACATTTAGTTTTTATTAGGTTTTTAGGGCGCTTTAATCAAATAAATTCTATAATTTTTAATATAACATTGTTTTAAATTCTTATATCCATTTTACACTGTTTTATCAAAATTAAAAATTTATTTGACGCAGAAATTAAATATATTTTTAATACTTATACTAATAATAAAATGTTCGTTAATGTTTAAATTTCTTATTATTATAATCCTATACTCGTATTATGGAGACTTTGAAGTAAATCATCCACTTGGGTGCCTCTATCTTACCTATTTTTGTCCCACGTAACAAAACACGTAAGGGTACGAATGAGGTATAATATCAGGCTCCTCAGGCTGTATCATCCCTAAATTAGCCAATCATCCCTACTTTAGGGATGATACTACAGGAATCTGTGATTGTGCCTTGATGCTGTTTTATTTCTGCAATGACTGTTATTAGTTTCAATTATAAATACTGTAAACTACTGAATTATAATCCAGAAACATTCATGCAGTGCTATCTAGTTCCAAATTAAGCAGAACTACTTTACTGTGGCCACTAAACAACTGATATACATAATTAAGTACATATATTTATTTGTAATTAATAATTACATATAAAATATGTATTGTGTGTTAGGGTTTCACAGAGAAACAATTAGTGTATTTAGAATGAAGTTTCCATAGAATATGTTTGTCCTTAATTATGAGTTAAAGAAATCCTTAGCCTTAGAAATCTTAGAAAAATATCACCTAATATTGTAAATTTGTATTTTTACTAATTAACTTCCAATACGACATCTACTATTACTAATTTATTTATTAATAACATTAAAGATGACGTTATAAATGATATATTTATTTTTTCCATTTGGTTGGGATTAGTCGATCGATAGCATCTACATATATACACGCGGACAAAGTTGCAGTCACCACTAGTAGAGTTACAACCCAACATCCGATTAATAGACTAAAAGCAGTGTAACTAATACTGTTACAGTGAGTATATAATAGACAACCACAATGATTGTATTTGTATGTAGCGCCAGTTGCAATTTATTACACATATGCGCCGCGTAGAATATATTATGTTCTTAATTAGACGGCTAATATGAAATTATTTACCTTCAATAATGAGTGAGTGATTTTTTAAAAGATTGTTACAGCAAAAAAAATACAAATTTATAATTATTAAACGAACAAATAAGATGTCTATGTCATGCAAAATACCGCTTTCATCATGTTTATGGTCTCCTAGTACCTATGTCTGGCACATATTTTAAAATAATAATGGGTTTGGTTGGTCTTACTTCATCTGTCTAGTATGTAGCGCACTTACTCAGATGAATTTTTTCACCATAGATACACATCGATCATCACATCATCATATATATACATGGATGTCAAAATATATGTGAGCCGTCCTGTATGATTACATTAATTGCATTCATACTCTTTACCGTCAATGTGTTTAATATGCTAATGATTGTTTTCTCTTAACTTACATACATACAATACCAAATAGGTTAAATTCAATCTTTTATTTGGTTAAGTTCTAAATACTATTAGAAACATCATAGGTGTATGAATGTGCATGTAGAAATATTCCTGTATATACGCTATAGAAATATCTCTGTAAAAGACAGAGAGTAATATACTTTTTACTTAGGTCAATCTATAACACATAGACGTAGTCGAATATAGCCAGTTAGAGTGTGCAACACATTTCACAATAAAACAAAGTAGAAAATAATAATATTTTTTAAAACCCTATGAGTTTGGTACGAATAGTTCTAAATTAATTTTTCAACGTTATTTTCTTGCATAAGATAATTATATATAATATAATATAATATAGGTGAGTAGATATATAATATATGTTATATATAGTCATTAATTATTATTATAGTAAATATGTATGTATGTGTATGTCTGCATTACAAATAATCTTCAATACCAGATTATGTTAGGTTAATAAATAAGTAAAGAAGATTTAAAAACTGTCAAATCGTCCATGTATTAAGTCGCGGATTTAAGCTCGTGTAATAAAATTTTAATTGCCCTTTTATACGAATATTTTTCTATTAAGATATAAAGGGGCTTTATATAGCTCAGGATTTATAACATAGGCTGTTCGCAATTATCTCCAGAAACATTGGAGCAAACCTGATCTTTTTTCGACAGCAATGAAAAGGTTACAGCCGTATTTATACCGCTGTCAGGGACCCGGACTTATCTGAATAACGGATAACGGGAGATGGGTCAAAAGGTACAGTTCGATGAATTAAAAAGTGTTTCCTGGGATCGCCGTGCTTTGAATAAGGATTCGAGGTATTTACGTATTGAATTATAAATGTAATCTTATTGAAAATTCTTATTTGTTTTTTATTATGAGACGAGTACTTATAACCCGATATGTACATGTCGGGTTATAATTATATATTGCGTTTGGTTTTAATCAAAAAGGTAAAACGGAATCCTTATGGTACGATATCCCTATCGTACCATAAGGATTCTGTTTTATTTCCGTCTGTCATAGCTTTGTATTTGTAAATTACTAATGGTTTGATCTTGAACTCTGATCTTATATAGTGCCTGTAGTTAAATTTTATAGAAATAGTTATTAAAGCAGTTTTAAACTATTTTGATTTCCAGTCTCAATGAAATTGAATGTTGTTCGAAGTTGTTACTAATATAACATATGTATACTATAATATAATAACGAACCATGTACTGTAATGTGATGGGTCAAAATTTTATAGGTTACATCACCACGCAAATAAATAGCGACAAAGGTGAAAATTACAAAGAACAATGCACCAAAACCAACTGCCAGAAAGATAAAACTAGTTATTACTTTGATCTTACAATCTCCATCAATCCTAATGCCAACTTACAGGCTCCATGCCTGCAAGTTGGCGTTAGGATATTGACCGGGAACTCTCAAAGTCTTAAAATACACATTACATTAAACACAATTACGTTAACTTTTTATAAAAGAAAGCATCTTCTGTCATACATTTACTTTCTGAGTGTCATGATGTCGCTATTAACTATAGAGGAAGTATCATTTATACGAAGAAGTTTCCAAGTTGCTAACACCGGGAGTTTCCTAAAACTGTGTTGGAATGAAGTGTCACCTGTACGCAGAAGGAAATTAGTTGTCAGTACATATTTGTAATCTTTTTGATATTTGTACAAATTTACACTAAATACCCAAATAATGAGGTTTGGTAAACAAGAAATTCTTATTAAATATTGTAATAAGTTCAATAGAAGTTTTGAATTTGTCTGTTGAAATTATTATTGTAGAAGTGTACAATACATACTGTATTGTACACGTCTATATGATACAATAAATATTCGTATGATATAGTAAGGTTTTGGTTATAGTTATTAGATATTATAATACTTTATAATTTTATTAACAGCCAAAATTAATTCGCTAAAGGCTTACAACATATTGCCACTATCAACTATACATATTTAGTTTTATGAAATGCAACAAAATATATGTATATAAAATAACTGTAAATATGATATAAATGTATATAGAAAATGTATCTTCTAGATAATACAGACTAATAAATAATAGACGTGCTTGAATTCTATATTATTATTGATTGATATTATTGTTATTATTATATTATATATATTGAATCTATATAACGACGAATTTCGTGGAGTGTTAGTAAGTAGTAACATTAGTCAATAATAAAATGTTTTTATCTCTCAATGATATAGTTTAATAATTTTGATACAAGGATTTATATGGTTTATAATGTTAAGCTTGTGACCTCAATCGCTAGCCCTACTTTAATATCCTGGGGTCAGACATCTAGCCGGTATAATCCCGTTGGCCGAGTCCTAAGTTACATCATGAAACTAGGGTATTTTGTACGATGTTGAAATGTTAATTCTTAAAAAATATTATTAGTAAACATATATCAACTATTTAAATAAAATACATTTGACAATAATAATAAAGCAAATTGGCATAATCTGTATCTTAAAAAAGACTATCGAATTAAGGACTTTCTTCTATTTCAATTCGGTTAGTAAACAATCAAATAAAGATACTTTCTTTATTTGATTGTTTACTAAAACTATTATATATACATACAAACATTTTAAAATGGAAATATTACTTTAGTATTAATTACTCATACCTGTTTTGTTGTTGATGTTGATTTTAATAAATTTATTAAAATTTTATGTTTAAGGACAGAATTATTTTGAAAAGCAATTATAATTTTCTCCGTATTCTATTAAGTTACTCTTTGAAGACGTTTTATAATGTTTGCCAATTAATTTGTGTAAACATTATCCATAGGAGCACTCCTTTATAATAGCATAATATCATTTCAATACCAGGTTTAAGAAATTATTATATATATACCTATATTGTAACGTATTGCAAAGTTTCTTTGAATATTTTGGTTACCAAACATGATATCATTTGAGATTATCAATTCGTTGTGTTTATTTTTCATTCATACGGATTTTGAGTATTGTTTTTGAAATCGATGCAGTTTTAAATTTACCTTTAGGTTAGACCAAACATAAATTCTATAACAAAAAATGTTAATTTATTGACGGCTTTGGTGGTCTAGCGATGAAGCACTCTGTTTTACATCAATTGGTTTCGGGTTTGAATACTCGCAGGATATAAATATTTGTACCGACATCATGAATATAATGTATGTCGGTCTGGGTGTTGTGTTCAGTTGTCTAGTACCCATAATAAAAACTCTGTTTAGCTTGGGCATAGATAGCATTTTAGGTGAATTGTCCAGGAATGCCATTATTATAATTATTAATTAATTCTAGAATGGAAGTCGATTTTATTATTAATAAAACTGGATTTGTATTGTACTAAAAACACAATATCTGGATGAATAATATTCAATTATATTTCCGTGAATATTCCACATTTTGCCCACATAGTTAGGTATTATGTTAGCGGATTTCCGAAGAGTTGGAGCAAACTAGCAATGAACCGATTTTACGAGCAACAAATTTACTGCCGCTTAAAATGTTGTAGCTGCATTGAGAAATTTCTAAGTTCATTTTTATAGCATAGTAAGTGCTAGTTGCTGGATTTTTTAAAATTTCTTTATTTGGTTAGTTATTTAGTATTGCTTCATAAACTTAGGTATTTCGTTTTATAAATTACTAAATGTAATCTGCAAGTTTGTCGGTTTCTTGAAATAATGATATTTATGTACGATAAAGCCTAGTCTAGTCAGTTCTTACGTGAAATTTAATTAACATCCATTTTGAACCTTTAGTCGTATGACTTCATACTTTTTTGCTCTTTTGTACTTGGCTTTGTCTATGTTAAAATATCTTATTTTGACTAGGGATTTATCGTAGAGACTTACAAATTTCCAGAATTGAATATTATATAAAAGCTTTTAGGGGGAAGTCCCCTAGTGGTGGACATCTAAGGTTTTTTATAAATAAATAAAAAAATAATTAGTAAGGAATGTTTATCTATTTATGACTAATAGTACATAACAAACTTAGAAATCAAATTAAATAAAAAAAAAACACAACCTCTGATTAAAAATAATTAATATTATCAATCAAACATGGATAATAAAAAATGTAATTTATAAAAGTGGCACCTAGTACCGGACATTTCAAAATAGCCTGCATCGATCACATATGTAGCCATCTATACACTCCGGAACGTCTGTATACATGGCTAGTCATGCTTCATGCACGTTCCTCCCACGACAGGATGAGCACTGGATCCAGTAATCGTCAGTGTCTTCTAAACAAATTACGCAATTGTTTTGTTTGAGTTAGATGTTTCAATTAATAGTTCTACTTTATTTCCATTTTTCCATTAGACTTCATGTTTTTCGCTTCTTTTCCCTTGTCTACGCTCCTTCCTTTGATTTACTTTCCTTTATCATGAGCGGCATACATCTATTAGATAAATCTTTAACGTGGTCCATCAATACTTGTTCATACTCTGGTGAGAAGGTGGTAGTGAACCTACCTAACTTTTGTTTCATCGTTTCTTCTCCTCGATTTAACGTCTTTGTTTTATTATGTAGGCACTCTACAAGATATAATAAAGGTGTTAAATTTCAGGAATATTGTATCCTATTGCAGCTTGTCTTACACTCAGTTCTTTTGACATAACCTTAACAATAGCAGTTTGTAAGCTCTGTGAGCTCCCACGATCCTTTCTTTTTCTTCTCTTCCATTTCAATTCTCTTTGTTCTTCTATACTCTAACAAAATTTTATTTGTAAATTCTCACAAGAAATATCAATATGTTTACTGTCCGGTGCTAAGGGATTACTTAGTGTCCGGTGCTAAGGGACAGACAATTTCGTACATTGACCTACCAAATTTGTTTGAAAAATCTAATAATATTCTACCAGTTTACGAATAACAATCAAGTACTACTTTTATTTTTGAATACAACTTAAATGTAAATGCATAAATATACCAGAATTACTTACATCGATATTTAGGTGACGCTGTGATTTCTCACCAAAAACACCGATAAATCGTTCCTGCCGTGGCCTTGTGCATCACTGGAGAGCCGTATCCCGTGATGCTGTAGTGTGTGTCCCCCGCGCCCCTTTCATTTATACTTCGAATCGAACAGGCTATACTTTCTTAAATAGTAGGAGTGTCCGGCGCTAGGTGCCGTCCGGCGTTACGGGACTTCCCCCTATAAGTAAATGTATATTTTCAAAACTAATTAATTAGATATATAGAATAAAACAAAGTTACTATTCATGTAAGTGAATCATTATTCTTAAAATTTAGTTCTCTGACGAAATATGACAATTATTTTTAAATCTATTTCAACATAAAGTGTTAAAGAACTGATAATTTTATTGTCAGTTTTTAACTAAGAATAAGTTGAATAGCTTTGTTTAAACAGATAATTTATACCATCTAATTCAGTATTTTATAGGTTTCAAATTGTTTTTCAGGATCAAATACTTATATTTCACGATTTACAAACAAAAGGTGCTTCTGTTTATAAATTCTCTAATTACAAGTCAATAAAGATTTAGAAGTATTATTACGAGTATAAAATTTACCTATTTATTAATACAGATCTTCACTTTCGGATAACGAATTTTAATAAGATTTATAACTAAGTTTCAGTGATTTATTTTTCGAAAGATTTCTGTATATTTACGATATTTGACCGAAATACTGTAGCTTGAAACAACCGACCTTAACTAAACTGAAAAATTTGACGAACGGACCTTAAGCGAAGTTCGATTATAACTTTCTTGTTGCCATGTTATATAGTGGCTAATAGGAATATTACATTGTTAATCAATTATATTT